TACCTCCCTTCCTCCCTTCCTTCCTTCCTTTTTTCTTTTTCTTTTTTTCCTAATGTAGAAAAAAAATCTATGCTCAGTCTAAATTTTCCTCTGTGCCTGGCTACCAAAACTTTTTTTTTTTTTTTTGGATACAGAGTCTTGCTTTGTAGTCCAGGCTGGCCTCAACTTGCAGCAACCTTCTTGTCTCAGTCTCCCAAGTGCTGAGATTACAGGTATTTACCACCATACCTGGCTCTACTATAACACTTTGTTTACTTTTTTTGTTTGTTTTATCCTAGTACTGTAACTTTCCTAGAATATGTTTGAGAGTTGATCATTCTGAGACAATTTTCTGACATGGTATTCCTTTTTTAGTACTTAAATTTCTTGTGGTACCAGGGATCAAACTCGAGATAGGTGCTTATACTGCTAAGCTATTTCATTGGGCCCTCAGTACATAAACTTTTTATAATTTCAAGGAAACGCAAGTTTCGAAATTTTACCTTTTCATTTGCTTATCTTTTTATTTTTCCTCTGCCCACTCAAAGGGCCCAGAACCAATGTCCCACAGTGGCATGAAACATGTATTACCCAGATCATGATCTCTGACTGTTATTTCTCATAAAAAAAATACAAGCATTCCAAGTTTAAGGCAGAAAAAAATTCAAGATGATCCTGGAATATCCTGTACTCAGAGAGAGGGAAGGACAAGGGGAGGGGAGACAGATATTCTAATTTCCTTCGTGCCTTTTCCACTGGATCACTCGGGAAAAATGATAGTGACATATTTTAATCTACCTTCTTCTACACAGGAAGTATGAAGTTAAAGGGACACATCACAGAAGATATAGCAGGTAAAGCTTTACCAATTTTTAAAAAGCCAAATGTATTTGAATACAAGTCCATGGTCATACATACATCCATGTCCTCTGAGTGACACTGAACTGCTTAACTATAGTACCTATTTCTATAGTTCAGTTCTGTTAACTGCTTCTTATTGCAAATTGATTCCCTCACCTGAAAAATTTTCAAAGTTCAGATGAACAATTAATTTCTCAGGAGTTGGCAAATTACAGCATGGGGCAGGCCACATCATTTTTATAAGCAAGGTCTCCTTGGAACATAAATTGCTAAGTAGTTCTAACAGACATGTGTGGTACACAATGCTCAAAATAGTGCTCTCTGGCCCTCTACAAAAAAGTTTGCCCCTCCTGTTGTAATTTTTGATTCCTGTCAGCCATATCCATCTTTTTATCTTCTCACACTACAAAACAAAATAAAACAAGCAAAAAACACCTTCTGCCTTATTTTACTAAAGTCCAGACCAACAGAAAGAATGTCTTTGTGTGAAACCTTAAACCCAAAGTTAGGCAGGAGCCTCAGTTTTGTCTTAGGTGAGGTTTCCTACAATCTAAAAAGAAATTGCTCTACTCTTTGAGTAAAGGAAACTAAAATAAATATATCTTACTTTTTTTTCAAATGAAATATCTTTAGTGAGGTTTTAAAAAAATTTTATGAGACAAGAGTCTCTCTCTGTAATCCAGGCTGGCCTTGAACTCACTGTGTAGCCTAAATTGGCCTGGAACTCTCAGTGACCTTGCTGCCTCAGCTTCAGAGTGCTGGGGTTACAGTCCGGCTTTAGTGGTAAGTGAGCTGGCTATAATAATTTTAAGTTAAACACTACTTAGCTCCTTACTTCTAAAAGCAAGTTCTCGAGAGACATAAGATCCATTTTGCTGTAGACATTCCACAGATTCACGCTCACATCCTGCAACTGCAACAAAGGGCAAAAACAGAAATAAATTAGGTCAATGTTGTTAGGTCAATCTGAATTATTTTCTAATGTTCAAAAATTATAATCTTGTTATAAACTCTGTGATTATTATATTGATAATGTAGCAAACTATTAATAATTATATCATCAATCATTATTAACTATACTAGAACCTACAAATATCAATAAATGGTTTCCCATTCAAAGAAACTTTTTTTTTTGGTGGAACCGGGGACTGAACTCAGACCCTAGCGTTTATTCTACTGAGCCATTTCCCCGCCCCTAAAGAAATTTTTTCCAAAACCTTTAATATGTCTGATTATCTGCTGTGATGGCACCTACACACTGAAACACACTATCTATACATGAATAAATACATGTATATACCATATAATTGTGGCCTTTGTTTGAAATAAAGTATTAACCAAACTAATGTATGTGCACAATTTTAAAAAGCAAAGAGTAGGGGCTGGAGAGATGGCTCAGTGGTCTAGAGCACCTACTTGAAACAAGCTTGGCAAAGCACAGGGACCGCGGTTCAATCCTCCAGCACCACATGCCGGCCAGCCGCGCCCCCTGGTGGGCTGAGCTGCCCCCCCACACACACACTAAATAAATGTTAAAAAAAAATCTTAAAAAAAAAAAAAAGCAAAGAATACAAAATACTTGTAACAATAAAAAACCTTTTGATTCCCTATTCCAATTATGGTGAACTTTTAGTTTTTTTAAGTTTATTTGTTTTATTTTTTGGTACTGGGGATCAAACTCAGGGCTTTGTGCTTGCCAGGCAGGCACTTATGCCACTGAGCTATATCCCTGGGCACGGTCAATTTTTTAGAGATCAAGTGCCCAAACTCCAACCCAAACCCACTTATTTATCGCCAAGTACCATCACTGTAACTAAACCTGAATAGTAAGGTTTCAGTTCAGAAAAAACAACTCATACTTAAACAAACCAACAAACAATCCAATAACAGAGCATTCAATGATACAGTCCACTGTGGCACACCTGCCATAGCTTTCCACCACCACATTCCAACTTTCCACAACCCAGCATTAGTCTCACTCCCCAGAAGCAACTTCTTACGTTCTTAATCTTTTTTTTTTTTAATTTTAACTTCTAAAAATTTGTATTAATACATGTCTGCAGTGCATGCAGTTTATAATCATTCTAGGGAAGTGGGTATGTGCATAACACAGCTTGTATCTTTAAATCCCCTTCCCTCCTCCCTCCAATTCCCCTATCCTGATTTTCATTCTTGTTGATTTTATTAATCTTAGCTCATGTTTAGCATATGACATTTACATTCACTGAGGTTTCTTGGTTCCTAGGTTTTTCTGGTATTTATCTCATTTTCGTATAATATTCTTTTATACCTATTTTTAGCAGTTAAATTATTACCTTATAGCAAACACATTGCTCTTTTACATTAATCCCAATTCTCACTTTTTCTCCACATATCATAAAACACCACTACTTTTGTTATATCACTATAGTTTATAATACTAAAACATGTAAATATTAAGTATGTACTACATTCCAATTTGATTTTTTTCTTAGAAGCATTAACAGCTTCTTTTTTTTCACATGTAAGTTTTCATTTTTTTTTTTTTTGAGACAGGGTGTCCCTATGCAGTTCAGGCTGGACTTGTGCTTACTTTCGTAGCACCCAGGCTGGTCTCAAACTGGCAACCTCTGGAGTTCGGGGATTACAGGCATGCGCCGCCGCCGCCACCACCACCACCGTCACCGTCACCGTCACTATCACCGCTACCACTGCCACTGCTACCGCCACCACAAGGCCTGGTCCTGGGGGCCCCTTGCACAACATACCCATGGTTCCAGGGCCAGCACGCAGAGCCGAGGATCCAACTCAGGTTTTTGTGCCTATTAGGCAGGTGCTTATGCCTCTGAGCTATCTCCCCAGCTCCACAAGGTTTTGTTTTGTTTTGTTTTTAGATATATCAGTCTTGGGGCTGGGGAGATAGCTCAGTAGAATAAGCACTTGCCTGGCAAGTGTAAGGGCCTGAGTTCAATCCCTGGTTTCACCAAAAAAATCAATCAATCAATCAGTCTTGGGGCAGGGGATATAGTTCAGCAACATAAGCATCTGACTGGCAAGTGCAAGGTTCCAAGTACAATCCCCAGTAAAGCAAAAAAAAAAAAAAAAAAATCAGTCCTAATGTTTTTTTCACAGCCCCACCCAACCAATCTCCTTCAAGAATTTCTTAATAGTGAAACTACAGGGCTGGGGAGATGGCTCAGTGGAATAAGCACTTCCCTGGCAAGCGCAAGGCCTGAGTTCAATCCCCGGTTCTGCCAAAAAAAAAAAAAAAAAAAAAAAAAAGAAAAAGTGAGACTATTGTCACTGTGGTCTGGTATTTCTTAGCTATGTGGAGCTGGCCCTGTGTATTGCAGGATTCTTAGCAGCATCTTAGTTCTCTATTCACTACATACATACAGCTCATTCTCATCCTAGAGGCCTATCCAAAAATATGTGTAAACATTGTCAAACCTTTCAGTATAGGAGAGGGCAAAACTTTCCCAACAGAGATCTGATCTATGTATAGCAAATCAGCCATTAATTTCCTTTCTTCCCCCAGCTTCACTCTGGCTTGAAAGCTTGCTACATAGCTACAACTTCCATTTTGACACTTCTCTTTGCTAATATCCAAGAGCTCGTGGATGATGGATCTGGTTCCCTGGCTTTCTTCTCTCCTCTTTCTTAGTTAACCAACTACCTTAACTGAAGCACACCACCCAATTCTAAGAAAAGATTAATGAGAACCTATTTTTTTTTAAATTTTATTTATTTATTTGTGTGTGTGTGTGTGTGTGTGTGTGGCCAGCTCCGCCCACCAGGGGGCGGGGCTGGCTGGCATGTGGTGCTGGGGGATTGAACCGCGGTCCCTGTGCTTTGCTTAGCTTAGCTTGTTCTAAGTAGGTGCTTTAGACCACTGAGCCATCTCACCAGCCCGAGAACCTATTATTCTTGATTTTAATATTACTTACATTCATGACTGATTGATAGCTCAATTTTTTTTGATTCTTTAATTCATTTGTGATTTCATCTTGAATAATTTCTACTGCTATGTCTTCAGATTCACTAACCTTTTCTTCTGCAGTATCTAATGTGCTGTTAATCTCTCTCTCTCTCTCTCTCTTTCTTTTTTTTTTTTTTTTTTTTTTGCGGTACTGGGGATTGAACTCAGCACCTGGCAAGCACTTATTCTACCGAGTTATCTCCCCAGCCTTACTGCTGTTAATCTCAGCTGGTGTTTTTTATTGTTGTTTTTGTTTAAGACAGGGTCTTGCTATATTGCTCAGGCTGATCTTGAACTCACAAATCTTCACGACTCATGTCTCAATGTACCCAAATAACTGCATTTATAGGTTTGCACCACCTGTCCCTTGCTTCACATAGTATATTTTTCATTCTAGACACTGTAGTTTTTGAGCCAGGGATATAGCTCAGTGGCATAAGTGTCTGTCTGGCAAGCACAAGGTCCTGAGTTCCATCCCTCGTACCAAAAACAACAAGAGTAACAACAAACAACACTTTGAAAAGACACTGTAGTTTTCATCTATAGAAGTTTTGTTTGGTTTTTACAGTCCCAGGAATTGAACCGAGAATTTCTGCACTAAGCTGTATTCCCAGTCCTTAATTTTTTTTTTTTTTAGTTCCTCGAATCTTTTATTTGGCTTTTACTTATATCTTTGGGTTTTCATACAAGGAAAATCACGTGGTAACAGCCCTTAATTTTTTTTTCTTGAGCTATGACTTCATTAAATTTCTAAATTGCACAGCCCAGGCTCAAACATGTGATCTTTTTTAGTGTATGTGTTGCCAAAGTAAACACAAACTTGTGAGCTTTTGGTCTCAGCCCCCCAGAATGCTGGGATAAGAGGAATGTAATGCCACACCTAATTTCTTCTTCTTTTCAACCTGACAATCTGTGAATGTCAGACACTGTGCATACTACGTTTTGAGTACTAGATATTTTCGTGCTCTTATAAGTATTCTCAGGCTGAGGGCTGGCTAGACAGCTCAGTGGACTAAAACACCTGTTTGGCAGAGTGCAGGGACCAGGTTTGATCCCCACTGTGCTGGCTCTGCCCCTGGGGTGTGCTGAGATGGTCACTGAGACTGGGCGTGGTGGCCCAAGCCTGTAATCCCAGTGCCTGGGAGGCTGAAAACAGGAGAATCACTACGAGTCCAATCTGTGTAGTGAGACTCTGTACTAAATACATTAA